TGTGAAAATGTTACATTCTGTTCTGGTCTTTAAGTCAGACAGTGGCCTGCTGGCTAGGAAAACCTTTTGCTTTCTAAGAATTAGGATTTTGCTGCACAGCTTTTCCAATTTAGTGTGTATATCTTTCTATGAAAGCTTTTACTGTAGTGGTTCAATCAAAGAACATTTGAGCTCAATGCAGCTGGCTCAAAGGACTCCCACAGATTTTTGCATTGGATGAAAAGTCATTTTCTCCCATTTTTCTCTTTCTCACTTCTTCACATATCTTCTTTTTAATTTATATCACCCTAGATGGCAATTTACTTTTTCAGTAATCTCTTGTTCTGCAAATTAAACATTCTCCTACCTGCAGTGCACCTCAGTGACCATCATGTACAAAGACATTCACTTGAAAACGGTTTCTGGATTAAAAACTGACAGTGGTGTGTCGAGATAATCCACAAGTGCCTCGGTGATTTAAAATCTGATAAATTTTTTCTTTTTTTTTTTTACTTTCTTAAGCGCTTTAAATCTCAAACCTTGTTACATATTCATTAATCCAGGACACAACTTTAAGTCACACACATCTTTGGGATTAAAAGTCTTTTCACAGCCAAAAGGCAGATTTGGAAATCATTAGAAATTCACTCAAAATTACCCCGAAGTTCACTTCCTTCTTTACTCACCTTTTCTAAATAATTTCTATCTTTTAGTTGAGTAACGACACGGGGCAAATATGTGACGTTGTGGGTTGGGTTACTGTGGCTGTGTGGTGTCTGAATTAATCAGAGAGACGTTCACAATACAATTACAGAGGAAAGACTATTTCTACCTTTTTCTGTGCTCTTCTGTTTTTGGTAAACTAAATGAACGGATGGAGGATATTTATCAAGGATGGGGATTGTTTTAGTTTTTATTTTAAGTTTGCTTCTGCAAACACTAATTATGCTAATTAGTAGTGTGGCCAAACTAAATGAAATGTTATATTTTGACCATTTTTTTACATTTTTATTTTGAAATTACTTAATAAAAGTTTGTCTTGCTTACTTAAAGGTGCATTATGTAGAAATAAAGTAAAGATGACACCCCTTGCTCAAATCTGGTTACTGCAACCACTTTAAACAACTGGAGCTTTTACCCGGCCGTCGTCAAATTACAACTGTTGGTGCTGCAGTATTAGCTCGCAGGAGACACGGCAACCCCACACTCACTGATTTAGGGTTGGGCATCGTTTAAATTTTGAACGATTCTGAGTCAGATTCCTCATTTTGATTCCGGTTCCTAACGATTCCCAATTCCGATTCTTTAAGGACATTGTGTTTTACATGAGCCAGCTAACCACAGGTCCTACTTGATGAAATAACCTTAACTTCAACATGATTTTTAATTCTATGAACAATAACATCACCTTCATTTAGACAAAAACATGTTTTGGAGAAAAAAAGAAAAAGACTTGCATCACAATCAGCGTGTTTGTCTCTGACCACAACCAAAGTCTGGAAGAAGCCTCTGGGATGAGAGGCTAAATGTCTCCAACATATCAAAAAATGTCCAGCTGTTTTCAGCTAAAACTCTCAGGATGATCATGTCCAGGATGACTGAGAACTACACCTCCATGTTGCAGCAGCATTCAGTCAGGACAGAAAGTGAAACTTAAATGTAGCTGCTGTCAGTAACAACCTAACAGATTTTAAACATGAAAACTCTCAAAAGAAATAGTTCAGAAAGGAAATTAAAATGTTCACAGCTTTGTGTGTGATTTTTTTATTATTATTATAATTATTTATTGTGGCAGAAGCTGGTGTGGCCCACCACAGAGAAAGCTTCTCTGCCATGATGACTTTAATTATTCTACAGGTTATTGTTCAGCCTTCTGATGGTTACGCTCACACACACACACGAGTGTTGGTGAGCGGCTGTGTTTGACTGCTGAAGCTCCATGTGTGTTTTTATTTCTGCAGTGAGACAAACTCACCTAACACCGTCCAGAGTTTGTTCTTTAAAGCTTCTATTAAATCCACCGTGTTGAAGCATTTTAACAAGTTTCCTCTACGCCGCAGGAGTTAAAGTTTACATTGTAGTGATAAATACAGATTTATATCTATATTTATCAAATGTGGTGTAGACTTGGCATCTTTTCATTGTTTATACATTTATATTAATTAATTGGGGCACCACCCAGTCTTTGTTAGTATGAACTCCCCAGTGAGTCGTGGTGGATGGCTGCTTATACTGAGCCAGGATTCTCTGGAGGTTTCTTCCTGTTAAAAGGGAGTTTTCCTCTCCACTGTCGCTGCATGCTTGCTTAGTATGAGGATTGCTGTAAAGTCACTTACACTAGTCAGTGACTCAATGCAATTTGCTGGGTTCCTTATTTAGGAAACTTTTTTCTGATTGGCTTAGTGAATTGACCTGTACTGGAATGTTTATTATGTGAAGTGCCTTGAGACGACGCTTGTCGTGATTTGGCGCTATATAAATAAACTTGAAGTGAATTGAACTGGGGACACTCGAATGGATATTCAGATTTGTTCAAGGTAATCAGTCTCAAATTTAACACCACAAATTAGTCTGAAAGCTGAATTCTTGCCAGAATGCGCCAACTCTTCTCGAGATTGCTAGAAATGATCAGGTGTTATTTACTTTTTTGAATTTAGTACAAACATCAGTTAATACATTGACAAAGGGACCAAGCACAGCTTATAGTTTTATGCATGTAATTAAGAAAATTGTTAACCCAAAGATTTATAGCAGTGATATGGAATAACTGATCTGTAATAAAGTGGAAATTTGGTGACCCACGAGATTATAGTCAAATGGGGAGTAATTTCTAAAAGGGAAATACGTGAATTTTCATGTGAGTTTATGGGGAGTGGTGATGTGTGTGTGTGTGTGTGTGTGTGTGTGTGTGTGTGTGTGTGTGTGTGTGTGTGTGTGTGTGTGTGTGTGTGTGTGTGTGTGTGTGTGTGTGTGTGTGTGTGTGTGTGTGTGTGTGTGTGTGTGTGTGTGTGTGTGTGTGTGTGTGTGTAAGCAAATCATGATTTGTTGCAGCTTTCTGTCGCCGAAAGGGTGACCAGCGGCTGAAGCAGCCTTGGGTCCTCGCTCGTGAGCAGAGGTTTCTAGGACTGAATGATTCTGGCTCCCGGGTTGATTAATGATGGCTGTGGGGTGGAGGATGTGGTATTCCTCTATCGTGGCTTGACTTTCAGTTCCTTCAGCTGCACCCAACGTAGGCTTCAGATCGCGGGTCCAAATTATCCAAAACGAATTTGACTTAGAAAAACTGCTCCAAATTAGTTTTAACTCTTAATGTGAAAACTCGACCGGACCACGCCGGCTTCCAGTTTCACGTAGAAAGTCTAAACAAAACAAACGGAGTTGCCACGGCGTTCTACTGTACTTGTTTGGAGCGCAAATGGTTTGGGAGCTTTGAGAGCAACGTCGATTGCTAGGCCAGATGGAAAAATCCCAGCAGAAAGATTCTTAAGGAGTCTTGGTGCTTTGTTCTGCCACCACGCTTTGGTCACACCCACATGCATTTCACTCATTAACCACTGGCTGACACTGTGGCTCTTTCAAATAAACTCCACCTTCCCAACAATGTAAGGTCCATGATCACAATTTACCAAAGTTATTCCATATGAGCCATCAAAGTATTACTTTAAACAGGAAAGAACCAAATTCATGTCTTAAATCTGGACAGTTTTACCATTAGCATGAATTTTAACTGGGGAAACAAAAATTGGCTGAGGTTTAACAACATAAAAGAAAAACACAAAACAAGCAGTTAGGTTTGTAACTGATAAGATTTTAAACATTTACTTAGAACACCTTGATTTCTAATGGTGAACAAACCTAAACACCTTTTGACTGTGGATAAACAGAAAATACCAGGGTCTTGATAAAGACTATATTATGGAACCTTCCAGAACACGCCCTTAGAAGGTTTTACGAGCATTCAAACCTTGGGGAAGAGTCAGGTTTTGGCAGGTTGACATAGAACAGACCAGGTTCTGATATCATTCTGCGTCTCTAACTGGTACAGAAGAAAAAAAACACGTCACTTGGTAAAATTTATGTCCCTGGGGAAAGGTAGGAGCTAGCCAGTTCCAAATCCTTCCATTTTATGACAGTTCCAAATTTTCTCACTGTAAAATTCTCACTATATTCTTACATACTGCACCTTTAAATGTGCAGTATGTAAGAATATAGTGAGAATGCAATATCTGCATTCCCTATGCAACATTATGCAAACAAAAAAAAAGTAAACAAAGCCATGTCACTGGTGTGATTAGACATACTGATCAGCCCAGTATGTTTAAAAATCAAATAGATAAAAATGTTAAATCATCTAACTAAAAGTAGGCTTTGTGGGAGCTTCTATGAATAAAATAAAATAATAAAAAAACTAACCTGTTGATGCAGAGCATCTCTTTCAGCTCCTTTAAAAGGAAATTAAGTCAACAGTCATCAATGTCGTCAATAGTTATCCTGAATGTCATTGTTATTTTTATTGTTTGGAAGTTAAGAAGCTGCATCGTTTTATTTTCAACGATCTGTTAAACAGAGAGAAAGGTTTTATTTATGTATTTATTTTGTCTTTCTTGGTTTTGAGTACTTTTGATAGTTTGCTCATGTTTTGGTTCTGTCTGTGTGTGTGTGTGTGTGTGTGTGTGTGTGTGTGTGTGTGTGTGTGTGTGTGTGTGTGTGTGTGTGTGTGTGTGTGTGTGTGTGTGTGTGTGTGTGTGTGTGTGTGTGTGTGTGTGTGTGTGTGTGTGTGTGTGTGTGTGTGTGTGTGTGTGTGTGTGTGTGTGTAAATGTGCATGTGTTTTGTTTTTCGGTGGGACTGCGGATGGAAACTAGCTTCTTGCTAACTCCAGCATCTTTCCATATTGTGTACGATCACCAATATGTTTTTTTCCCATTCAAACAAATAAATCTGATCAAATTATGTTTATAAAGGCTTCCTGTATCTGCATCAAGTAAATAAATACACATATTTGTTTTCTCATCTTTTCCAGATATTAATGACTGTGACAGAGACCCGTGTAAGAACGGTGGCGTTTGCACTGATTTGGTTGCCAACTATTCCTGCGAATGTCCAGGAGAGTACATGGGGAGGAACTGTCAATACAGTAAGTGATGTTTGTCTTCTTGATTAAATTTTTGTATAACTCCCCACTGCTGGTAAAAGTTTGTATAATCCACTGGATAAGAGCAACACAACTGTACCACTGACACTATTTGCTTTCCTATGTTGATGTTTTATCTCCACAAATAACACGAGTCTGAAGGAGTTTTGCTGTGTGGTGGAGTTGCTAATGCTAATGGTAAGCTTCTACTAGTCGAGACATTTTCTTCTGTTTCCTGGATGCTAAAACAACAACAGCCTTCCATGTCATGAGCAAACATGGTTACCGCTTGACATAGATCTGTCAGGCTTTTCAAATTCTAGACTTTCACCATCTTCTCTCATAATAATTTTAAAAGGCACAGGCTCAGTCTGGTAATTCACAGTGTTTTGATGTTATTTATAGATTAATGTTTTCCTTCTTCTCTTCCTTATCTTTCTTTGTGAAGGTGTGTGTGTAAACATGACACCAGAGTTAGCACCTTTCTTGTTGGTTACTTTTCATCTGCATAAAAACGTGTATGGAGTGAAATATGTGTAAGATCTTCTCTTGCATGGGCAATGATGGAAAAGCTCATACAGGCAGAATATCCCACATTGTGCATTTATGTTGTATAGTTTTCCGCACTAAAGGCAGTGCATTTTTTCCCCGAGTGATAATAGATTTTTTTATGTATAAAATGGTTATCTGTTTTTGCAACATATCATGTTCTAAAATATATTCTTAATCAAACACAGTTATTCAGAACAGAGCTGCTCGACTCTGTAAAATATATAAGTTGCCAATCTGTTTAATATTTGAATGACAACTGTTAAACAACTTATTGTATGTGGAAGCAATATCTAGAGTACACGCCTTAAGGACAATGCAATCACCAGTTTATACCAGCAGGTGGCAGAGATTTGTGGATTAGTGTTGATTAATTTAAAGATTGAGCCAGAAAGGAATATATTATTCTAGAATCAGTACAGAATATGATAAAAAAAATTCAACAAGTAACATGAATATAACAAGGACAGAAAGTGCTGCTATAAAAGCAGAGAAGAGCTACTGAAGCAAGGACAAAACTTGTTGTTTTCAGCAACATCGATGAATAGAAATAGAATTGTATGGGACAATTTAGCTGGAAGTGACAATACAGAGTGTGTAGGCTCATAACATAAAATTGTTGGTGGCATAATTGTGTGGTGTCGTACATCACTGGTGTGTTTAGCCCTCATTCTGTCATCTTTACTTGCTCTAATTGCTTTAAAACACCAACATAAGACACTTGTGAGTGTAGCCTTTGAAAGAGACGGGGGCGTGCGTCATTCAAAGGGCAGAACAAAGCAAGAGCATGCTTTCAAAGAGCAAACTTAATATTTATTTTTATTGATGATGTTGTTTCTATGATTTAAAACAAATATAATTTCATTAATCACAGAACCAAAACTAAAAAAAAAACTTTATCTAATCAGAAACTAATAAATCGAAGCATTTGAAGGTTAGCAAGTGACAGTTTTATGTTTGAAGGTCCTGGTTTGCTTTCTGTTCCAGATTATGGACAGAACAATCAAGCAATGTGCTCATTTTTTTCAATCCCCAGCAGCTCTAAAGACCTTCATGTTTTTATAATGCCATTATGGGGATAGTGTCTGCAGTCGAGGAACATATTAGGATTAATATATCAGGAGACATGGAGCCCAGAGCCACTGTTCCTGCATGGATACTCACAAATTAAATTATTGGATTTTCCATCTCAGGTGCACCACAGCTGTGACAGACCAGAGGAATGCAGGAGGGGATTTTTCACAGGTCCACTCCACAAATGCAAGAAGGTTTTACAGTCAAATGCAAAGATCGCTGCCAGAAACCATAAGAAAAAGAAGCAAAGATGTAAAATCTGAAAACTATTTGTTAAATTTAGGTACGCACCGATACGATACTGGTATCGATATCGGCACCGATACCAATACCAGTATCGGTGAAAGTTAACCGATACCAGGAACTGATACCAATGCAGTTGCTTAAAAATTGCTTCACTGTAACTTGTCATTTCTGTTCACACAAGATTTTAGTTTTGTGATGATTTCCATTCATTTATTTTACTTTTTATCTACCTCACAGTCTTTTCCTGTTGAAAGCAGAGAAGAAAATAAAATCTGTCTTCCAAATCATTGCATTTTTTTGTGTGATAGAAGTATCGGTATTGGTAATCGGTATCGGTGAGTACTCAGATCCAAGTATCGGTATCATATCGGTTTGGAAAAAAGTGGTATCGTTGCATCCCTAGTTTAATTAGAAAACCTTAAAATGTGTGCATATTGAAACACATGTTATAGTCTGATTATCAGGGTGGCTTGCTTTTGGTTGTTTGTTTAAACACATTAGATGTGACGGGAACCGTTGACCGCGAGGTGAAAGTGCTGACTCTCAGCGGTAATTGAATGGTGTTTACACCTTCAGAAGATGAAGCGTGTCCCATTTCTACATATCCCAGAGGGGAACTGTAAGCAGGGCCACAAGTCCTTCACTGTTTAGCTGATATAAATGTCAACAACCCTGAAGGTAATGCCATGTGCTGCAAACGGCGTTCTTTTTTTCTGATTGTTTGGATTTTCATTAAAAATGTGATATTACGGCTGATCATTTCATATGAACATTTTCACATAGAGCTGTATGTTTTGACATGTATCAAATGTTTCCCATTAGAAATGACATCACCAAGTCAGCTGCATTTTGTTTGAGCTGTGTTGTTTCTGTTTATTAAACCCATGTGCAATAGTCTTCATAGAGGTGTGATTTTGTGCAGATATATTTATTTACTCCAAATGAATTAAAACAAGATTTTTGTGAATCTTAGTCACTGAGTTGGGGATCAGCCATGATAGGAACATTGTGTCTTACTCGAGGAAGTGGAGAAATTATTTGATGACACGATTATGTTCAAAAAGGTTTTTGTTCACAAATGGAGGTAATTTTAAAGAAAAAAATGTACTTTTTTGATCCCCTTGGGAATTTTTTTTCTCTCCATGTGATGTATCCTTAGCAATGGGCTGCAATTTGTAACACAACTTGAGGTTCAGCATCTTGCCCAAGGATATATATATATATATATATAAACGATTGTGTCCTAAAGCATGAGCTGTTTCTCACATTTTGCAGTTTAAAATTGTCGGGGTGGAGTGCCTTGCCCAAGGTCACTCAACATTGTAGATATTTGTTATCAGAAAAGTATTTAAAAAATCTGTCCATCGATTCATTTTTGACCCAAATAATGAATTAAGTCCAGATCATTGGGGCAGCAGTTCCAGCAGAAAAGCCCAAACTTCTTTTTCTCTATGAACCTCCACCTCCACTGGCAGGATCCTCAGGTGTCCCCTGGCCATTATGGAGATATAACCCCCAACACATCATGGATCAACCCGAGGGCCTCCTGCTGGGCCAGACATGCCTGAAACACCTTTGTACACAGCAAATTCAAAAGTGTTTATTTTCTGGGGTTGGTCCAATTTAACACCAAGAATAGTTAATTTAACACTAAAACGAGTTATATAGTTGGTATGTAACACTGACATGAGAGTTAAAACCCAGTGTTAAAAAGGAGTGTTTCCTAATCAACTCTGCAGGTGTCATTTTGGACAAAACTCTGAACTCCCACAGCAGCTGTAACACCTGCAGAGTTAATTTGTAAAGTCCACCCTTTTATTCTAAAAGTTGGATTGGTAGCGACCGATTGGCTGCAGAGTTGCAGGAGCTGCAATGGGCGAGGTGCATTGTGGGTAGTCATGTTTTTAGTTAGTTTGTTCTATTTTGGAGTGTTTATGCATGTTTATTTTGGGGAGTTGTGTTGTTCTTAGTTAGTACTTTGTTCACTGTCACAAATGTGGTTTTGCTTGTTATGTCATGTTGGTACCGTAAGTGAGGAGGCTGGTCAAAAGAATGGGACCGCTGTGTGTTCCACTATCACAATAAAAATGTGGTGCGTGGTTCATACTACATGCTCAGGGGTCTCATTTATCAAACATTGCGTAGAATCCTTACTAAAACCGTACTTAAGCTCAGCAAAAAAAAAAAAAAAAGTACTTACGCCAAGTAGGTTTGTGATCTATCAAACATGGAGTACACACAGCTGCACACAATCTCTGCTTCAGAAATTAGAAACTATCTAGAAAGGTTCTCGGCTGCTTTTTAGTCACATCCCGCCCTCAACACGCACACTTTCTGCCATAAATAGTGCAAAGTGCCTTGTGGTTCTCATGCATATACATAAACCGGCTGTTGCAGCACTCCACCAATGACGATGGCAACTGTAGATCAAGGAAGCGTAATTTCACAGAAGCAGAAATTGAGGTACCTGTGGGTGAGGTGGAGAAATTAAAGGAAGTGCTTTTGCAAAACAAATAAGAGAAAATCCACGGAGTGGCACAGCGTTGCTGAAGCAATCAATGTTGTGAATTCTTCTGAGAGATCTGTGGCGGATATAAAAAAGTGGTCCAATCGGGATTCGATCCCCAGACTCCCAGGTGAAAGTCATGCACGCTAACCAGTCAGCCAACGAAGCTCTCCCCTGTACAAGTAGCCAGGACGCATCATCAATCGGGTCACAGTGACAGGACACTCTCACACACACACTGTCACAGACGCATGACATTCTGTCTCAATCTGTCCCCCTGCTGATAATCTGCATTCCGTATTCTGCGCTTCAGGCTGTGTGTGTGTGCACGCGTCCGTGTGTGTGGGAGTGTGCGCACATGTGTGTGTCCGCGCGCATGTGTGTGCATGTGGGGGGGCTTGTTCTGTGTGAAAATAAAGCAGTACAAGTGAGAATGCTGCAGGATTTCATAATTGTATCCTTCTCAGCAGCATCACTGCAGGTGCTCCATGTCCAAAATGTGCGTAAGCATGGCTGTAAGTCAACTTAAAGTTGCGCACATTTTTCCGCTAAGTTTTCTTTCATAAACCCCAAAGTTTGCGTGGAAAGTTGCTTACGTAGTTTTCTGACCCCGTTTTGTGCGTAAGCA